CCACCGAGCTTTCGACTTGAGGTCTGGTCCAAAAAGTAGTGGAAAAGTGTCAGGAGCTGCGTTCCTATAGTTGTCAGTTACCAAATGCATTCTATCCTTTCAAATTCTGGAGCCATTGGGTACACCATAGGCTTGAAATCAGGATTTTCCAGCCCCCCGCCCACTCACCTGGTTGTCTACCAGTTCGATTGTAGGTGTCAGATACTCGCATTTGCCCTTTCACTTTCGTGAAGAACACCCCTGTCCCACATGGAGATAGTGAACAGGACATACCTGGCAGAAGTGTTCTATGAAACACGTGGCATTACAAGAGAATGCCTAAAATCAACCCACCCTCAGCTACCACAGATCGTTTATGCACACATGGTGCGCACTGTTGAAGAGCGCTAAACTAGGACGAAATAGCTGTCCAGTACTCACAGGTGGTTTTCCAATTGTTCTCCTCAACTGATGTCAGCTCATGATGAAATTCTCCAACCAAAGAAATGGAACAGTCATTAGTACAGAGAATAATATAGATTCATTTTGTTTCGTTGTTTCTCGTCAGCTGCGTACAACCTCTACTATTTAATGAAACCAGTTGTCATACAATTTTAACATTCATTAGGAGTCAGTTACCTAGTAAGGATAGTTGTAAGAAGGTCATAATGAAACAAAACATAAGGACGATAAGGTTATCAGAAATTATTAGAGCGAAACTTTGTCGTGGAAGCTTTCATCTACTCCTTCTTGCACGATCTCCTCCACACTCAACTCGTAGTTTTCCACTCGGACTGCACTCTAGCAGTGGGGTGGCGCGCGATGTCATTCAGCGGTCCCCTCAGTATGTACCCAATCCATTTCCATTTTCTTCTACATATCTGTTGAGCAATCGGTTCTTGGCTGGTTCGTTCCCGCAACTTCTTGTATCTAATTCTTCCTGGCCAGTCGGCCACCTGATCTTCAGCGTGGAGCTAGCATAGGGGCAGCTGTTGATAAAAGTCTGCAGTAGCCTGTTGGAATTACTTTTTTGACGCTGACGCCAAGTTTCTGACCCATATAGAAGAACTGACGGACTAGCTTAACATTGGTGTTGAAAATTCGAATTTCGTTCTTTATGTTGATTGAGTGCAGAAGGTTTTCAAACTGATTCCAGAGTGATGAAACCGTATCTCGCCTTTCCGATTCTGGCTGGCTTTGACATCTTCATCCGTACTGTCACCTGTGGTTGAAATGATACTTCCTAGATAAGTGAGGGAAGGAAATAACCTCTTTCAAATATCTCTCGTTGATGGTGATTGGTGCTGATTGTTGTTGCTGCTGTTGGTTGGTTGTTTATCTTCATCATCTCCGTCTTTTCTATGTTCACCTGGAGTCACTGTCTTCGCTGTCTGCCTGCTTCTTCTGCCAGTTTGTTGGTTTTCGCCTGCAAGTCTTAGAGTTTATGTGACATTAAACATCAATCATCCACCTCTAAGTCCAGGTCTCCTAGAGTTTCCTTATTGGTCCAACATATTCCCGTTCTCTTCCTCCCCACAGTGTGACCTACAGTCCAGTCCACCACAATTAGGAAGATCATCAGTGATAATACGTGGCCTTGTCTTACTCTTGTATTCAATTCAAACATCTCGTTGAATTTTCCATTGTGGATCACCTGATACGTGGCATTGTCATCTAGTTGTTGACTGAGGGTGGTAAATCCTTGGGGAACTCCACTCCATAGTGTTGAAGTAGCTTCCAAATTACTTCACAGTCAACACAGTCGAAGGCGACGTTCAAAGAATGTGAGGTTAGTAACCTCACACCGCAGAAAAACACAAAACAATACCACCACTACTTAGAACTTCAAGGCTTAATGCTTGGAACTCCAAGCTTCTCCATTTGGAACGCGAATGAATGAAATAAGAGGTCTAATTCCTGTGATTAATTAGGTCCTCACTTCCACCTTATTGATTATTTCATTTCTTGAATCCAAGACTTTTAAATTGTGCATGTGTGTATGATTGTGTAGCAGTAAAATAAATGTTCCCAGGTGTGATTAGCAGCTCACATCATTTAGAGAATCATTAAAAGCCAAGCAGTGTTTCATCCTAATTCAGGACTCTTTAACAGTGCGTTCCCATTCAGTGTTTGAACTCAGGAACTCCCAGTTACAAGGCAAACTCGTGGACTATTCAGCCACCGGTCCATTTCGTGATATATACATAGCATACCCACTAGCCTCTGTCAGCTGCAAGTAACCGTCATTTTACCTGACTGACATCAGTGGACCTCACTTGTCACGACTTGTCACTAGAACCCCAAGTAACTTCCCATATATATATATATATATATATTCAACCATTTGCTAGTAAGTTTCAGAGTGACCAATTCAGGTGAGCGACTGTCAATAGTCTCTAGTTCGAATCCCATGTTATATTTGCCTTTAACAGTTTGTTTCATTATTCGTTGTTCATAATGATTTCGTTTGTCAACCACGTGGCTAATAACTCAAGGAGACTAATCAATAAAAGGGTGGCGCTGTCAGTGAATAACCACACACATACACACACACACCAACGCTCGCATACACACCTCAGATAAACGTAGCTATTAGTAATAATGAAACTGAGTCGACAGCATGGAAACTAAATCTCACATGTACACACACATATATACGAATATACCAGGATTACGTAACCCACTAGTTAGGGTTGTAATTACAGGGTCTGTCGAGTTGATGAAGGGCAGGAGGAGGAGGGGCAAACACAGTTTACAAAAATACATCCTATTAATTAAAACCGCTAATTATTATTTCAATAATTATTGTTTTTATTTCATAACTTTATACTAAAGGGACTATTATTAATTTAAATTCACTTAGAAACCCGCCTTTCAAAAGACGAAATATCGTTTTTATTTAAAAAAACATTCTTTTGATTACATTGTACACTAACTTGGTGGATAGATTGCCATAGAAACAGTTCAGAATAGCTACTACCTATATTGATTGATATAGATGTCATACTCTTCCCAAATGACAGAACGGGGTGGGGTATATCTTCAGCAAACTGGAGATGATGTCAGGTTTGAATCTAAGCGAGAATAGTGATTTAAACCACAGTTTTATCTATAAATCTTCCATGGTGATATTTATTTTTGATCTGACAATGTCACTAGGATCAAGAAGAGTTACATTTTGTATGATAACGAATGATCCTAATGAGTGGGTTCATTGGGAACCTGAAATGTATTCACCGGTTACTACTTTCAATTAAAAACTGTATATAAAAACCCGTTTTCCTCATTCATACAAGTTTTTTTCTCACCAAAAATAAGTCTATTCTTTTACAGGTTAGATCACCAAACTGACATTTATTTCGTCCCAGTTTAGACCTCTTCAGTAGTAGTACTCAAACATCTCCATCCCAACCATCTATTTTCCTCTTTAAGCTTAAATGTCAAGTCATTTAATTACTGGTATTGTTCCCTTGAGTTCCTAGTGGAATATGGGGCGTCAACAGTACATCTATATTGCACTGCACAATTGCCTATAAGCACCTTTCATTATCTCTCTTACATGAGTTCTTGCATCTCAACCTATCGTTTCCCATTCAGGCCCTACACTCGAGCGATGGCCTGGCACGTGTATCCAATTTATCTCCATTTCCTTCTGCTGCCTGTCTGAGTTCCTCGTGGCTTATGCTTTTCTGTCAGTTTGATTGGTTGGAGGAATTCATCATGAGCTGACATCAGTTAGAGAACCTAGCAGTACTGAACAGCTAGCTATTTCGTCAGCATAGTTTGGGACTCTTCATCAGTACGCACCCACCCCAGTGGGGTTGGAACCCAGGACCTTCTGGTTATAAGGTTAGCGAGCTAGCTCGTAGACCATTAAGCCACTGGGATGTGATCCGATCCAATGGCCCAGTGCTCCCAGCTGGTTTTCCAATGGTTCTCTAAATGATGTCAGCTCATGATGAAATCCTCCAACCAATCAAACAAAAGAAATCCTTACAAAAACCAATACTAGAAAAACAATTTCTGTTAGTTATCTAATCTTCAGTATCGAGTCAGATAAGGGGATAACTGTTGGTGGAATTCTACAGTAGTTTGTTGGAAATGCAATTCGTGACACCAGCGTCAATTCTCTGAGCCAAATAGAAGCACTGACTTGACAGGTTGAATATTCTGCCCAGGTAAACATAGAGAAAACAGTGGGAAGGTGATGAAGATTCCTGGGCAACACCACCAACAGCAACAACAACAGACAACAAACAGCATAAATGGATGGAACCTGAAAGAAACAACCTCTTTCACCAACCGACCTGGGAAGCATCGTTTCAACTACAGGCGGACGGAACTAATGAGGATATCAAAGCAAGGATCAGGAAAGCAAGACAAGCTTTCACTACTCTCAAGTCTGTGGAGATCAACAGCACTCAGCATGAAAATGAAAATAATATCCGGATTTTCAAATTGAATGTGAAGTCAGTGCTACTGTACGGATCAGAGACTTGCACTGGGCGTCATAAAGAGCATCTCAAACAAACTACAGACCTTCATTAACAGTTGTCTTCGCTCAAGATCACTCAAGATCAGAGGACTGGCCAGAAAAGATCAGCAACAAGGAGATCTCTTGGAGCGAACCAACAGAGCAGGAACCGACTGTGCAACAAATATGCAGAAAGAAATGGAAATGGATTGGCCATACTCTGAGGAAACAAACCATCAAGTGACATCACTAGACAAGCCATCGCTCGAGTGGAACCAGAAAGGGAAGCGGCGAGTTGGTCGTCAATGCAAGGGTGACTTGGAGGAGGTCATGTGAAGAGGAAATGAAAACGTGTGGGCAGACTTGGAGCCAGGTGAAAACTCTAGCAGAGAACCGAATGCAATGGAGACGCACGGCTGAAGCCCTATGTTCCTCTAGGAATTAAAGGAAAGAATAATAATAATATTCTGGCCAGCGATTGATTGTAATTAAAATCGAATTGATTTTTTTTAAATTTCGTTTTTCGTCTTTTTTATGCCTTGCAGATATGGAATTCCCTTATCCATCAGCATATTCAACGCCGACGACACTGAGTAATTCTCAAGGTAACAGTATCCATAATAATAATAATAACACTACTGCCGTCTCCACAACATCAACACCTCCAATAACCTTGACAACTTCGACTATCATAATCAAGCCAGATGCCAGTGAACACTACAAAACAACAATTAATTCTTTAGACAATAATAAACCTCCAGAAAATTGTAGATTTCAACAAAATCATGACAATTATTTAAAATCTGAAAATCCCATCAATTTCAATGAAACCGCCTTTACAAACTGCCTAATCCCTAATGAAACTGATGACATCAAACCCCTAGACAGTCTAGAAATTAGTCCACAACTTTATCTCAGTGAATCTTCATCAAGTCTTGAACCAGCCTGTAATCTAATGAATGATTCATCTGTCTACTACGGCGAACAGACAACATCCAGTACAGACTGGTTATCACAATTATTTCAAACAAGCGTAGAATCAACAAGTTATGAAACAACCTTATCAAAAACTTGCATAAGTCCATCTTGGAAAAATCATGAATACGTGCATTATTCCTATACAAATTCTACACCAGATTTAAATATTCCGCGTCATTATGAACAGCAACAACAACAACAAGAACCAATGACCTTGGAGGCTGTTCAAGGTGTTCAATTCCCTGATGTAACAAATTATGAAGCTTTGGAGAAATCAACACCATCCACTTGTTTCTATGGGAATATTAGTCAAAATTCGGAATGCTTTGAAACAATTAGAATGAAAGAAAATATTGATGTTTTGCCAAATATCAGCTCAGATAACAACAATGTTCAGCCACTAGTGAATATGGAAGAGTACACACCAATTCTACCGATGTACAATATTACTAATAATCTAGAATTAAGTAATCATGTTCAGAATAAACTAGAAAGTAATACAGATTGTATTAAGCTACCACCTCCTTATTACTATTATTATTATCATCATCACCATCAAAATCAAAATTTAAATCAGAATCCTCCTGTTGTTGTTGTTGCCAATGGTGAGGAACAAATATTCCCTTGTACATTGAACAATGATAATAATAATAATGACAACTCACAGTTGATTCAAACAAATGCAGTGTCTAATTTTGAATTTAGGAATAATAATAATCATAATAACAAGACACAAGATGAAGATTTCTTTTGTCGATTGTGTTCACTAGAAAATTCACCACAGGCTGCAACAAATTCGACATTCAATAATTCATCGGGTATGAATTCCTTTTGGGCGAATTATCGTCAAGTTTTAGATAATAATATACAACCAAGATTTGAAAATAATATTAGTAATAATTTCCAGCAACAACAACAACTGCATTCCTCACCATTATTAAATTTATCGCGTTTTCGTCCACGTGATCAATGTGTCAATGGCATTGAACATTTAATACCAGAGAAAAGAAAGTTGAATAAAAAACGTTTAGATATTAATCCTCATGAAAATGGTAAGTTGATGCCATTGTCTACAACACTTTCATCATCAACATCAACATCCTCAAGAAATTCATCAAAGTCGATGTCACTGTTTCAAATTAGTCCTGCCCAGTTGAATACTCTCCTTCCACCGATATCTTGTAATGAAATTTCTAGAATTCTCCATCGATATCAATCAGCAAATATTGAAACGTTGTTTCAAACAATACGTATTGATAACCTATCGTCTGGGAAGTCTTCATACCCAGAGTCAGTGACATCAACGCGAGGTAATCAAATCGTCTTTCGACTTAGAGAACAGAAAATATGGTCAGATATCTGTGTGCATAATACTGAGATGATAGCTACAAACACAGGAAGGTGAGTCAGCTTATTTCAATTCACGCGTTTAGTCTGACCGCTTTCTACTTAAGTAATCTTTATCACTGGACTAGATGTTTCGTCCCAGTTTGGAACTCTTCAGCACTGCATTGGAACGGATTCTAATTGATGCGTCATTGAATTCCGCCTACCCCATTCCAGGTGGCTTAATAGTCAATGCCCTTGGTCAGATAATACATGAAGGTCCCGTGTTCGATGTCTTGCAGTGTGGTCGTAAGTACGCACCGATGAAGAGTTCTAAGCTAGAACGAAACTTCCAGTCCATTGCTCCCTGGTTTTCAGTAGACTCCAACTAAGGAAATAAATCGCTTATCACATATACATTATCCTGGTTCACTCTGATCGGTTCATTAAAGGTCACTGATTCGATCGGTCGGTAGGATGCTTGCTCATTCTTTCCGATCACTATACTTTATTTCAGACAATATGCGAACATATAGTACAAGAATTTTCAGCGTATTTAGTTCCAAAATACTCTTTTCTTCCTACAGGATTTAAATGTAAAGTAGTAATCTGGAGGATATCTTGATTTCGTTGAAGAATTGAACAGCGTTTACTTGGAAGCAAGTTAAATCAGCGCGCAAGTTCATGTGTAGGAGGTCATTTGATATAACTGAACGATTAAAACAATAATAATAATAATAACCTCTTTTTTATTCCAAAAACAGTACTTATAATACAGAATGGAATTCTCAGTATTTGTCACAATATTGCATGTGATTTGCTCAAAATATAAATAAAATTAAAACAAAATTAACCAGAGGAATTTGTCCACATTTACGATATAAAGTCAAAAATATTCGAAGCACGAACTGAGAATATTAAATATAATAATAATAATAATAATAACAGTGAGTTTGTTTCAAACAGCATTGTCGATTCAGTTTGGAAACTTAAGCATGTTATAGATTATTGAATCTAATGTTCTGTTGATATAGTAGCATTGTGAGGGGAAATACAAAATTAACAGTTATAATACAGCTTAAATTATGTCCATACTTATGAAAAAAAATAAACAAAACGAAAAAATTGAGAGGATTATAAATATAAGAAATATAATAACAATAAAGTTTGATGCTTTAAGGGTGAAGGAAATGGTTTATTTAGTGGTGCTGAGAAGGTTAGTTAGTTCATGTCTGACACTATTTTCATCACATAAAGTACGTGCTGCGAAATACGGTATAGTGGAATTTTTATACTTAGACGTATGTGCATAAAGCCTTCTGAAGAGACTTCTTGTTTTACCTGAGGAGAAACAAGGTTGGAGCTGCGGGTGCTGCCTTGGACGCTTACAGTGTGACAAAATTCCTTTAGCGAATTTGCTGCATGAAATCAAGCGCCTATCGGTGACAATGTCAAAGATATGACCCAATGGGATACCACTCATCCTACTGACAGTCTTCAGAGTTCTACGAAGAATGACATAGTCCTTTTTAAGCAATCTAGGAAAGAGTAAGGATGAACAGTAAAGAAGAATAGGTAAGATGCACGAGTTGACAAACTGTAACAGGAGGAGGGGTTGAGTTATACCTGATCGCCTTAACTTCTTATTATAAGAAGTCAGACGAAATATTCTTTCAGAAATCGCTAAGACATGGGAGGATCACGATAGGTCAGAAGAGAGAATTAATCCAAGATACTAAACTTCAGACTTGCTTTCTATATGAGTATCATCGATTTTGCAAGGGTCATGGGAACCAACAGCTTCATTTAACTTTCTTTTATATCGGAAACTGAAATGAACAGTCTGACATTTGGAAGGATTAAGTTTAAGGCCGTTAAACGAAGACCATTTGCTAATTCCTGATAGGAAGTTGTTTATCTTAGTGCATTCAAACTGGGAGTTAACAGACAGTGAAATAGTTAGATCATCGGCATACTTAACAAAGTTCATTTCATCATCAGAGTGAGGCAAGTCATCCAAGAAGAAAGCAAACAGAAAAGGAGAAAGGACAGCATCTTGAGGGACACCAGCCTCAGTAAGCAATGAAGTGGACGACTTTCCCTGACATACAGTGTATTGCTTTCTTCCTGAGAAATAAGAATGGAGCCATTTGACAACCCAACAGTCGGTTTGAGTTTCAGCAAGCTTGTTAAGTTCACATGAAATTAATCATTTCGGTAGCCCAGTGATTCAAGCAAGCCGCCTATATCAATAAATAGATTTATATCTGTCATACGCAGAAAAAATGGGATCTATATGAACTTTTTCAACAGGATTATCACGATTAAGTATTTTATTCAGGTAACGTTAAGGAATTCAACTCCTCGAATGCTGATATCTGTGAAAACTTTGTGTATTGTGGAATATAACTCCTTTGAGATCCAAGTAGAATATAGACTTTCAAGCCTGAGCTGTGGAGTTCCAGTCGCAGTGGTGCTTTTTGTTTTTACGGGAAGGAGTTGCTCACCTCATACACACAACCTTAATTAATAGCAATAATAGCTTTATTCTGAGCAGTGCTTATATCATGTACAGAATTTTCAACGGAAATTATTGCGTGATAGTTTCTTTATGTCCAGGATCTTTAAGCACAATAGCGACTGACAGTGAGTCACGCGACACACTGCTGTCCCATCTGAAGTGGAAACCAATCCCTTATGATACTTATTCTTTGCCTTCCTCCTTCGAGAAATGCACCACATTTGGTAGCTGGAAGTGAATTAAAAAAGATGTCGGAGAATGTATATTTTGGAGACTTCAGGTAATAACTTTTATTTCTCAGACAGTGGTAGTTTATCCACGCAAGATTTTGCTTTCTCTCAAGTTCTCTCAAGAATTTCACGAATCCTCAGGTTGTAGACATTTTAAATACTCGCGAGGGTAGAAAACACCTTTAGAGGTCATATTTTAATTGATTAAAACAAAATGAACGAGGGAAATTTGATATAAGCAGTATAATAATGGAGTTATTTCGGTAGAACAAGTTTTAAACAGATTGCCAAACCTTCCCTCATTACCGCCTACCTGGGAAGTATCGTTTCAACTACAGGCGGACGGAACGGATATCAAAGCAGCGAGGATCAAGACAGTAAAGCAAGCTGTCATTTCTCTCAAGTCTGTGTGGAGGTCAGCAGCACTCAGAATGAAAATGAAAATAAGATCTGGATTTTCAACTCCAGTGTGAAGTCAGTAATACTTACTACACGGTCCAGAGACTTGGCGCCGCGTCGAGTCACGAAGAGCACTTCGAACAAACTACTCACCTTCACCAACAGCTGTCTTCACTCAATACTATTCAAGATCAGATGGCCGGCCAGTAAACATCAGTAACAGTAAGGCATCTCTGGGAGTGAACCAACCCAGTAGGAACCAATCGTGCAAAAATATGCAGGAAGAAATGCAAGTGGTGGATCGGCCATACTCTAAGGAAACAAACCATCAAGTAAGTGACATCACACGCCAGGCCATCGCTCAAGTGGAGCCCGAATGGGAAGCGGTGAGTCAGTTGGTCGTCAGTGCGAGGGTGACATGGAGGCGGAAGAGGTCGTGTGAAGAGGAGATGAAAGCATGTGGGCGGCAGACGTGGAGTCAGGTGAGGAAAACGTTGTTGGAGAACCGAACGCAATGGAGACGTTTGGCTGAAGCCCTATGTTCCTCTAGGAATTAAAAGAATCCCAGGTAAATACCTACCTGAATAAGGCCAGTCGCTAGTGAGCATCTCATTGATATTCAAGTATTGCTTTGTAGGGATTTTGTAGATGTCTTGTACTCAGATAGGCCAACTAATTAGGAATGAGCAACACAACCAAAAATATTCAAATTCCAAGTCCAGGAAAATGATGATACAGTTTGTCAAACAATCACAACAAAGGAGGTTGTCAAGAGATACAGTTATGCCGTTCACATGGAGAGAATTCAAATAACTTCACACTTCAAATTGAAGTTTGAGTGGTGGTGAAGTCATCTAGAAGAGGAAGAAGAAGAAGAGAAGAAAGGAAGTTTCGCAATTGTAAACATCATCCAGCTCACAGAACTCAGTCACATCAAAATTAAACACATCCTTTTCAAGGTTATTACATTTCATAAATCATAAATCGGATGGTTGGAATTGAATCGGCTCTCTGAGTTGAGTGAAATCGGGTACACCGATGATGAGCTCCTCCACAAATGAGCAAAACGATCAGTTATTATGTTTAATTCATTTACATCAACCTGATGCTCACTAGTGATTGGCCCTATCCAGATAGATAGTTAGTTACCTGAGTTCTAGTGGGAAGTCATGACAAGTGGAGCACAGCAGATCGGGTATGAGGACAAATAATCGTTGATGACACTACCTGGTGGTCACTAGCTGTATATCATGAACTGACAGAAGTTGGAAGGAATTCATGGGCTAGAGATTGGATCGGGTTCCAGTGTCTTAATAGTCTACGAGCTTGCCTATTAACCGGAAGGTTCTGGGTTCGAACCCTAGTGATGGATGCGTAGTGATGAAGAGTCGAAAACTAGGCAGACGAAAAAGCTGTCCAGTACTCCAGTGCTGGTTTTCAATGGTTCTCTGACCGATATCAGCTCATGATGCAGCCCTGTAACCAATCAAATCCCTGCAAACCAGCCCTTGAATATGTGTTATTTTTCAGTTAACCGATGGTTATTCACGGAAATCGTGATCAACCCTTCTACAGATCGTCCTAAAACTAATTTGAGTATGAACTCATACTTCACTACAATGGAGCAGGCTTAGCCACTCAAATCATACATAGATTCATTTCCGGTTATTGTTTTGCTTCTTAACAGAAACCATTATAATGTGTAATTTGATAAATGGTGTTTCCTTTACCCCAACTGCCTAATTTTCTTCCATATTTTTGTGTGTTTGGTTTTCTCTTTCCCTTGACAATCTAGACGAATTTTCCCGTCTTTATCAGTTGATGTATTTGGATTGTCCCCAGCGGAAGAGTACATCTTCCTGATTGATATGCTTTTAATTCAACCGCATATATTTAAACATCAAGGCGATAGATGGGTTGTCAGTTGTCAATCAGAGGAATTAATAACTCATTCACAATCATTACGTAAGTAATGTTTATACATATATACATATATATATTATTATTGTTTCCTTTAATTCCTAGAGGAACATAGGGCTTCAGCCGTGCGTCTCCATTGCGTTCAGTTTTCTGCTAGAGTCTTCACCTGGCTGCAAGTCTGCCCACACACCCATACGCTTTCATCTCCTCTTCACATGACCTCCTCCAAGTTACCCTTGCACTGACGACCAACTCGCTGCTTCCCTTTCGTGTTCCACTCGAGCAATGGCTTGTCTAGTGATGTCACTTGATGGTTTCCTCAGAGTATGGCCAATCCATTTCCATTTCTTCCTGCCTATTTGTTGCACAATCGATTCCTGGTTGGTTCGCTCCCAGAGATCTCTCTTTCTGATCATTTCTGACCGGCTATCTGATCTTGAGTATTGAGCGAAGACAGCTGTTGATGAAGGTCTGTAGTTTGTTTGAGATGCTCTTTATGACGCCCAGTGCAAGTCTCTGATCTGTATAGTAGCACTGACTTCACATTGGAGTTGAAAATCCTGATCTTAATTTTTATGCTGAGTGATGTTGACCTCCACACAGACTTGAGAGTAGGGATAGCTTGTCTTGCTTTACCGATCCTTGCTTTGATATCCTCGTCAGTTCCGTCGGCCTGTAGTTGAAACGATGCTTCCCAGGTAGGTAAGAGAGGTTGTTTCTTTCAGCTTCCTTCCATTTATGCTGATTGTTGTCTGTTGTTGTTGTTGCTATCGGTGGTGTTGTCCAGGAATCTTAATCACCTCTGTTTTCTCTATGTTCACCTGAAGTCCTATCTTTGATGCTTCTTCTATCGCCAACTTGTTGCTTTTCACTTGCATATCTTCCAGGTTGTGGGAAATCAGACACATATCATCGGCGAATTCCAGATCCTCTAATTATTCTGTGTTGGTAAATTTTATGCCTGTTTCCTGGTTGCCCACCACTGTCTGTCGCATTATCCAGTCTACCGCAGGTAGGAAAACCATTGGAGATAGTAGGCAGCCAGCTGGCCAGCCTTGTCTTACTCCCATCTTCACTTCTTTGAAGGATTCCGTGATTTTCCTGTTGTGGATTACTTGACATGCAGCAATATCATGCAACTGTTGAATGAGATGTATAACGGTTGGCAGCGCCCCGTAGTAGCGAAGTAGTTTCCAAATCACCTATAGATCGACGCTGTCGAAGGCCTTTTCAAAGTAAATGAAGTTGAGATGGAGAGCTGACTGCCATTCCAATCTCTGTTGAATAAAGATACGTAGTGTTGCGATTCGATTGATGCATGACTTGTTTCTCCTGAATCCAATCTGTTCCGGTCGAAGTTTTTCATCCAGAGCATGTCCGATTCTCACCAGGACGATGCGGGTTAGTATTTTGCTTGGGATGGACAGGAGCATAATTCCGCGCCAGTTCTTGCATTGACGTAAGTCTCCTTTCTTTGGCAGTTTGAATAAGTAGCCTTTCCTCAATCAGCAGGTATCTTGCCCTCCTGAAGCAGTAGTGGTGTCATCAAGTCGGCTGATGTCTCTGGGCCCATTTTCAATGCCTCTTCTAGGATTCCGTCTGCCTTCAGGATTTCTGCTTTCGTTGCCCGCCTAACCAATAAAGGGTGATGGCCAGAAATCCAGTGATGAAGGCGTCTAATTCTACTCCACATGAGCAGTCAAACTGGTAGATAAACATAGAGGAGCAGACGAAATTAGATAGTTTATCTTTATTTCTCAAATTTAGAATTGGATTAGTTGTGAAAAGAGTCAAAGAACTTCTGCTGCACGATGGGACAGCAGAGCTGCAGAATAGACTTCCATCAGATTAACTTCTGACGTTCAGCACTGTTCAGTGTGCAATCACTACTTCACAATTATTCAATGTATAGTAGTTGGACTGCCAACTGTAGGTCAAAGAGTTAAAATACGTGGAAAGAATAACTTTTATGCTGTTAAACAGGTTATTTACATTGTAAAACAGCACAGATAGTTAGTATAAGTGTCATCAAATATTCATGGAAATATATTCGCTTTAGATTTAAGCCTCTGTCAACGAAGACAGAGCGTTCCGGTTCAGAATAATCAAACAAAGGTGACTCTAGTCGCTTAGTGGCTTCAATATTCAGAATAATGGGTTTTTGGTTGCAGTTTTAGTTGACAATGTCATCCATCGCTCGCTCTCCTGTGACGAATGTTCCGTTTATAGTTTTACACTACTTATAAGTAGCTCATATTTTTCTTATAAATTCACCTTCGTAATTTGATGGTACAAACAGCAGAAGGCATAAGTTGAACCAACAAAACGGCACCGCAATGTCTCATCTTCATGATTTATATATATATTGCCATAAAAGATTGAAGATCCACTAACTGAAATCAATGAGCTGCCGGAAGAGGCTGGCAGGACTTCATTTGGACACAGAGATAACAGAGGTGATGAAAATACTCCCACCAACTGCCAACAAGAAGTGAGGATTACTATCAACGACGGAGATCTAAAAGAAGTCACTTCTTTCAATTAACCTGGCTTGGAATCATGGTATCAACTTCAGATGGTAGAGATGAAGACAGACATTCACAACTCTGAAATCAGTAGGAAAATCCACTTGAATGAAAATAAGCAACAAGATCAAATGCATCTATTTAGTTCAGAGACTTGGCGGTCACTTCATTAAAAGCACTTCCAACAGACTGTTAAACACTTTCATCAACAGATACCTTCCCTGACTAGATACTTAAGATCAAATGGCCAGACTGGATAAGGAACAGGAAACTTTACGCACCACAGAAGCAAACAAGAACCTTTCACCCAATAAATATGCACAAATAAAGACGTAAACGGTGAAATGAAACAGACAGAAGAGGCTTTGGTGTTGAATAACTAACTATCCCATAAAATTCATTAGGAATATCAAAAAAGGTCAAAAGCAAAATAAAAATAATGGTGAAACTAGTAATGATAACATAAATAAAAGAGAATATAAGACATCTACAGTAGTTTTACCATATAAGGAGGGGACATCTGAAACCCTTCGTAGGATTCTCAATAAAGCGGGAATTGGGGTGGCATTCAAACCTACAAACTCACTCAGGTAAGACAAACTCTGTAGGTTAAAGGACCCTGTCGGTTGATCAAATTAAACAAAATAAAATAATTTACAAAATACCTTGCAATGACTGTGAGGTCAACTATATAGGTCAAACTAGTAGGTCGGGAGTAATCAGATTGTTGGAACATAAGAATTTAGCTAAGGCTAGAATGATTGATCCCACAAAGATAAGTAATTTAGAAGAGAGCTCAGCATTTGCACTGCATGCATTAACACAAACACACAATGGGGTGGGAGTGACAGAGTCCAAATTCTAAGAAGTAATATAGGTAGGTGGAGATAGAGAGAGATTGATTAGTGAATCCTGCCTGGTTCATCGAGTCTACACCCAACACAACACATGCAACAGAAATGACTCAATGCAAATACCAGAAATATGCATGGGAGATATTATTACCACCAGTCAGTCAAATCAGAGGAGGATAATAAATAATCTTAAAATTCTATTTCAATTCACGTGCACCATAACATTCTAACAAGTTACTTATTTATTATGACTATAAAAACACTCGTCTTATTTCCCATCTGATTGTATTTGGTGAATAACACTCATATTACTATTGTTTCTGAATGTACTTTATCTTATGTTGATTTTATTCAAATGTCTAATCATCAATTTTTACTCTTGTATATAAATGAAGCCAGAAAGTTGTGTGTGAGTAGTGCCTTGATATGATTATGAGCAGCAATAATTTGTGCTCAAAACGTCGTCATCAGTTAATATTTCTGTACAACACTGTGTGATTTATCAGAATAAAATCTTATCTATAATGGAGTTATACTCTACCACCACAGCGCCCAAGTTTTATACTTATATCAAAAATGCAAGTGGGTTGGATACTTCTTGAAACGACAGTTGACTGACACCAATATGCCGGCTAGACTCTCGAGTGGAACCAGAATAGGAATGGCAACTGTACAATAACAATATAAACAGCTGTAATTGTTTCTGAATTGATAAATACACAAAATAATTAATTCCGAAATTCATCATTCCTTAAAGAAAAAAGTTTTATACGTCATCATATTTTCACAGATATTTTTTTCTTTTCTTCGTGATTTCTTCTTCATCATAGAAGGCAGATATTATATTCAAGAAGAATCGCCTAAAACTGGTGCTTATTGGATGGAGTCTGGAGTAAACTTTACTCGGGTTAAGATAACAAATAGTAAAGATTTGAAATCACACAAAAATATGGTGAGTTATATATTAGAGAGATGTTATATAACTGTTATATTACTGTACCTAAAGACAGAGGTTAGTAGTAGGATCCTGGATGTCCAGGTTACAAGGCAAGTGATTGGCCATTCAGACACTGGGATGGATTTCAGTTAGCCAGCTTCTGTCATTATCGCCACTACCTGCCAGTGTCACTGTCGAGAGTTTCTTTTTACATCCTACATGGTGGATACCATGAGTCTCGCTGGAACTCCAGTCATAGTCACTAATGAGTACTAGATTCATTCTGAAGTACGTCTGTACATTCAGTCTGATTGTCTCCAAGTTTTTCATCATAATTCCATTATGGGTAAATTTTATTTTGATAGAGTCTCACAGTGTTATACAGTAATATTTACTGATGACGTTTCGAGCACAATTTATTGCTCATAATCATATCAAGTTAATCACACGACTTCCTAAATTCATTTATATAGTTCCATTGTTTTTCACTTGATTTTCACTTGATTTGATTGGTAGTATGGAAATATGGAAAATAATACTACCAATCAAATCAAGTGAAAATCAAGTGAAAAACAATGGAACTATATAAATGAATTTAGGAAGTCGTGTGATTAACTTGATATGATTATGAGCAATAAATTGTGCTCGAAACGTCATCAGTAAATATTACTGTATAACACTGTGAGACTCTATCAAAATAAAATTTACCCATAATGGAATTACACTCTACTCTAGTGCCCAAGTTTTATTCTTATATCAATGATATTTTATCATAAACCGACTTTAAGAGATATGTAGAGGAGATAATAGTCATTTGTGATAAACCGACAGACGCCATAGAAATCTTGAACCAGATGAACAGAGTAGCAAACAGTATATCGCTAACATACGTTAAAGAGAATAATGGTTGCCTGCCAATTTTAGATGTACTCATAACCCGCTGCCGATAAGATGGGTCAGTAAAACGATCTGTCTACAGAAAGTCCACATGGACGGGACAGTATCTAAATTATCATAGTTTCTGTCCACTACAGTATAAAAAGGCTTTGGTTAAGTGTCTATTCAAGCACATTCACCGTATATGTACTGCCGATACAAACGAAGAAAAAAAAGACAACACCTCACTGAAGTATTGCTAGATAACAATTACCCACTGAGATTTATTAGGCGTTACGGAAGTATCAACCAGAGAGCTCTACCAATCCAATCAGCTTCCAAAAAGGATATTTACATATCCTTGCCGTTCAGAGGTGATCAACAAAGTCCGGTCACTAGACAAAGACTGAAGGCCGCAATTAATAAAACTTAATTTTGCAGCTGAACTTATCTTCATAGAGAAAACGAGAACTATGCTGTCCTGTAAACCCTCACGATAAAGTCACATCCCATTGTGTTTATCAATTTACATGTATGTGTAGAGACACGTACATAGGGAGGACCCATCGGTCTCTGCAGGTTTGGGCTACAGAACACATTCCAAAGTGTCTGGCCCGCAAATAGATGTCCAACATCATCTATAGCGAAAATGACTTTGGTTAGAGAACCATTGAGAACCAGGATGACTGGAGAGTTGTTTCTTTCTTGTTCGAGACCTGTCACCAGCATACACCACCCACCAGGGTGGGGCACCAATACTGAACCTTTAGATCAAAATGCCAACCCACTGACTGTTCGGTTATTTGAATGGAATGGAATGGAATGGAATTGCCCGTGAATTCTAACGTCTGTTGATTCGCGATGTACCACAAACTTTAAACAATGACGTCTGCAAGTACTTGTCCTCACATTCGTGACTTCTAAGGAGAATTTCCGAAAACTCCATCTTGTATTCAGTCACCAGTGAGCATTAGATTCACAGGTCATTTAATTTTTCCCCAACAGCTAAATGGTCAACTGGATCTCATAGTAATCTGAAGGTCTTAAGTTCGATCCGTTATTCGATCATGGACTTGTGACACCGAAGAGTCTCAAATAAGAACGAAATCAGTAACCAAGGAATTGTTTTTAATGGTTCTATAACTCATAAAAGCTCGTGGTCAAACCTATAGCCAATGAAATCCCCACAAACCAGTACTTGAAAGCAAATATACGAGGTGACAGTAAAGAATAGACACACTAAAGTCAAATGACCTCAAACCACCCAATCAGATGGATGTTGCAAGTTTCACTGAGATTTGGTTTTTGACTTCTGTGTGGAAAATAGGTTCATAGGGAAGATCAAGATATATGCATATACGGGGGGGGGATGATGACTCTTTGGAATTATTGCCAGGCTACTTATGGTTATGCATTCATATGCGACCACCACTGTCATAGCAGGAAGTCTGTAAGAGTTGGTAAGCTGGACATTATGGTGATTTTTTAGATACTTTCCTCTAGAAATCGAAACTCCGCCTTGGTAGACTACTGCATATGCGCCACAGTCGGCTACTGAGACGACAAATACAACTCCTACAGCTGTGGAAACAGAAAATACCAAAATGTCAACAGTGCAGTGGTGTCAGCACTGTCGGGATTTCGCCTCACAAAAGAGCAATCGAATTATTTGTTCACTTGGAGGAACTGGTGTTGTTGATATTGATGAAATAGTACTTTCTTAAACAAAAAAATGAATCAAGTATTGGCTTGTAGGGATTTGGTTGATTGCTTACAGGATTTCATCATGAGCTGACATTAGTTAGAGAACCATTGGAAAACTTGGGAGTACTGGACAGCTGTTTCGTCCTAGTTTTGGATTATTCAGCAGTACGCACCTCCGGGTTTTGAACCCAGGACCTTCTGGTTACAAGGCGAGTTCGCATACCATTAAGCCACTGAGACCCGATCCAATGGCTCATGGATTCTAACTTCTGCCAATTCACGACATAGCACGAACACTAGCCAATGTCTTCGTCAAGTATTTGTCCTCACACCCGACCTGCTGCACTCTACTGGTTACGACTTCCCACTGGAACCCTAGGTAACTACCTACCTGAATAGGGCAAGTCGCTAGTGAGCATCTCATTGATATTCAAATATTGGTTTGCAGGGTACGCCATAGTAAGAGAATAGCAAACCATGTTTGGGTGCTGAGACTGTAAGACACAGTTCTTCGATAAGGGTTAGTAAAACGCATCCAAACAGAAGTGACGATTTCTTAATGCCAATAATATGGCGACTAGTCCTCTTAGGCACTACCATTCACAGAGATGAGTGGAAAGGTTATTCACAACTATCACCATTAAGATAAATTGCATAACGCTTCAATTACATCACTTAGATAAACAATTAGTCATTAGAGAATATAACAAGAATTGCAAACATAGTAATATCAACAGTAATAGTTATAATAATAATAATAATAGTGTTGAAGTGAGTTAAGATAATGCTACTGATAAAAGATAGTTTTAAATGAATCAAGAATAATAATAATAAGAGGTAGAATAAAGTGTTGTTAATATTAATAATAACAGTTAATAAGTAAAACGTATTACCATGGTAGATTCAGAGTCACGACCATCTCCTTTTGTACACAGAGACCTGGTTTATAAACTCGAATTGCACAAGCCTCTGCAATTGCAAGCATCTTCTTGTTTCTTTGTCTGCTGACGATAGTGAATGACTTGACCGCATCGATATCATGTCCATGTTTTGTTACTGAGCATTTTGGCACTTTGCACTCAGCTGTTTTCAACCATTTTGGCAAATTCTCCATCATGCGAGTAGACAATCGCCTTTCCGTACGACCTATCTATTTGCTTCCACAAACACACTTAAATTGATATACGCAGTTTGAAGTCTGTCGAGGATTGGCGACTGGTCTTTCCCAGATTGTTGAAGCATTCGCACCTGTCTTTCTGCATGACTAATTCAATGTAGTTTGTTTACTTATCAGTCCTATATCTCCCAATGTAATTTCAAAAGTATATATATCACCATTAAGCAATATTCTTCATGAAGTCAATCATTCTTTTGAATTAGTGGATCCTATAAGTGGATCTCATACAAATTCCATTGAAGAATTTTGGGCCCATCTAAAATAACCTATTGGAATGGGAAATGGTTCTGATATGATATAATATACAGCCGCTCAGATGAATTTTTCAATTAACATTGGATTAATATGTCTATAGACACTGCTATGAGAAACTTGGAGTGCAGCAGCAGAAATACATACCCTGTATAAGTTATTTTTTATTAAAAATATTCGTCTCATAAATACGCTTTTTCATGCAATAATGACACTTTTTACCTGGAATAATCTGATTGGCTGATTCAAGGTCATTCGATTTTGGCGCCTATTCTGTACTGTTGCCACATACAATGTATTGAAAAGCTTTCTGTATAAACAAACAAATAATTTCATTCATTTTCCCATCTTCTACTCTTTTTTATCTCTAATCCTTCTAGATTCAAGTCCATAGTATGCATTATTATATTCCACGAATATCTGTTGTCCGCCTTAACCGTGTAAACGGTACCCACTCGATGAATTATCCCAATCATAATAATAATAATCATTCACAGTACAATTCATCGGTGGCGTGTCTTCCACAATCTGACCAATTGGAATTAATTGGTGCTTATATTATACCTGGGACACAGTTCTACACAGTTACCGCTTATCAAAATCCTGATGTTATACGTATAAAAATTAATAATAATCCATTCGCTAAAGGATTTCGTAATCGACAAGATCAAGATGAACTGAATGATATGGCAATGCTGTCAGCTATGAATATAAAAAGCAAGTACATGATGATGATGATGACAACACAGCGAAAGAAGGAACATTCACCTCCGCGAACACAATATCATCATCATCATCATCGTTGTCAACATCACTGTCAACACCAGTTCTTCCATTGTCCTCCTCATCAGCAAATTTGACTTTTACACAAAAGCAGACAACTCCACAGTTATTCGAATCAGGATTTTAATATTTAATCGATTTTAAACACTGTTTTGTTTGTTTTTTTTTCAACTGGTTTTCTGTTAATCTCTTGCTTCTCTAATTTCTTAATCGATTAATTCACTTATTCAATAATTTATATTGATCTGAAAATTTGTAAATATATACGATGCTACTTATTATGTTTTAATTCAAATTAGTGGTGTTCTCAATTTCAAGAGTTAGACCATGGACTGATATCAGTTAGAGAACCATTGAAAACCCACCAAGGAGTACTGGACAGCCAGCTGTTTCGTCCTAGTGTGGCATGCTCGTATACCATTCAGCCAATGGGACCCGATTCAATGCCTAGCCAGTGAATTCTAACTTTTATCAATTCGTGATGTATTTGGCACGACCACCAACCAATGTCATAGGTGGGAACTCCATCCTCACTCTCGACTAGATGAACCTCAGTGGCCACAACTTCTCACTAGAACTCACTTCAGGCAACTGCGTCCTGTAGCAGGTCACTAGCAAGCATCAGATTAGTTTTCAGGAGTTAATTTGCAAGGATTTGGTTTGCTTTTTGAGTTAGATCACGGATTGATATCAGTTTTTTTAACTATGCAGATGATCTGACTGTTTCCATTCCCGTTACTGTCGACGAGTCACAAACTAGGACGAAACAGCTGTCCACTACTCCAGTAGTGGTTTTCAGTGGTTCTCCAACTGATGTCAATCCGTGGTCAAGCTCGAAAAACAAATCAACTCCTGAAAATTAATCTGATGATCGCTAGTCACTTGCTACAGGGCGGAGTTACCTGGAGATCTAGTGAGAAGTCGTGACCAGTCAGGTGTTCGCTTCCCTTTTAGGTTTCTTTTTCTCACTGGATGCAATATACTACTGATTGACTGATATGAGTAGTTCGATGGTAATCACAAAAAAATGGACGTCGAACGGTGTTTTGGATCAATTCTATCTGACAGATATCCAACTACTCAAATCTGTCAATCAGTAGTGTAGTCAGCGTAGTGTGACATTTGCCAACTTATGTCATCTCTTGCACAGATGACGTGATATCCTGCTGTCGATAAAAGGACATGTATACTGCACAGAAGTTCTCTCTATCCTTCTTTATGTCTGTGAGACACAAACATTTCGAGTGGGAGATATGAAAAGGCCAGATGTCTTCGATGTTGTGAAGATGAACTGATTGAGACTGCATGGGATACATGTTGCTCATGGCAAACTATCGCCTTCCTCATCTCGCGATGTTAGCCAACATGGTTAGGTTCGAGTTAGAGAAAAGTTAACCGGGATGACTGATTCGTTGATTGTTTGGTAAGAGTAGATGAACAGAACTCACATCAACCAGCTGTCATGTCGCCTCCTAGCAGAGATGCCTCAATGAAATATGAAGGTGAATATGATGTGATCTTGATTAATGGTGACCAGCTGTGGATACCCAGGTGTGCATTTCATCTTATCTGGGAATCTTCAGGTGAATGTCCTTGTCTTCTTAGTTGAAGACGGTGTTTAAACTCAGACGCTTCTCAGTTTGAAAAACGATTAGTGCACTGTTCCAGTCTCAGTACAGATACAAACGGCTCATGTGGCATTTACTAACTTACGTTATCTCTGCAGTAGATGTGATTTCCAGACATCAGTAAAAGAACGTGGATATCACGTGGCAAATCATTCCGTCTTCCTTTATGACTGTGAAACATGGCCATTGAAAGTGAGAGATATAAAGGCTTCCTTTAAGCACAGATGTCTGATGCCCATCTTTTGTGTTAAGTAGAGTAATGTGGTAAGCAATATTGGGGTTAAGAGTTAAGTGTTGGGTAATGAGGATAATTCAGTCAATAGGGTTATGAAGCTACATGGATTGAGATGGATGGGACGCATATCATGCATTCCAAACCACTGACTTTCCCGTCAAGTCTGTTAAGTCCCTGATAGTTTGTTTCAGCCACCTACATAGGGAGGGGGAACTGCCTGGTTGAGGTGGTGGAAATGCTGAATATCTTTGGCTTGAGGCTATTCCTGAAATGGTTATAAATCCTTTTGAACAGAGCTGATGAATTGATCGACTGTACCTTATCCTGAACATGCTTACTCGTTCTAGTTGTTCAGAATCAATTTCTCCTGATAATTCTCTGCTTTTGTGTAGTTTGTGGGTTATGTAATATGCAAGTCGCTAATTTAATTTAAATCTACTTATGTGATGCACAAATGTTCGATGAACGTTTCTATTAAATCATCTGACTACTTGTAGTAGTATAAAATAATTCACAGACATTCTACGCGGTGTCAGTCTTTTGACAATATAAGTCCAACGTAGTATTTCTGTAAGCGGCATAGGCGAGAAATGTGAAGCTCTATGATGAATATATAGAGGCAATTATACAAGTGTGACAACGGATTTGTATCACTTAGATTAATATTAAAAAACTGTTCTGCAGAACTGAACAGTCAGCTGTTTCGTGAACCTAGTTCGGAACTTATAGTCAGTTCTCATCCACTAGGGTTCGAACCAAGGACCTACAAGTTACAATTCAAGCCTATTAACCATTCAGCCACTGGGACCCAACTCAACGGCTTATGAATTCTAACTTCTACCAATTCATGATTTCACAGCTACTGTCACCAGCCAATGTCATTACTGGCGAGTATTTGTCATCACTCCCTACTGAGTAAACCCCACAGATCACAATTCCTTACTAAGACTCCGGGCAACTTTGTGGGGGATCCATGAGGTTGGGGGTGAAGACAAATACGTGCCTATGACGCTGCCTAGTGGTCGTGCTAAAAATATCACAAACTGGTGAAATTTAGAATTTATGGCCCATTGAATCGGGTTCCAGCGGTTTAGTGGTCAAGGAGCTCATCTTGTAACCGGAAGGTCCTGGGTTCAAACCCCGGTGGATGTGTACAGCCGATGAGTCCCAAATTAGGCTGACGAAACGGCTGTCCATCACTCCAGTACTGATCTTCAGTGGTTCTCCAACCGACTTCAATTCGTGGTCAGAATTGAAACAAATCAAATGCCTAAAAGCTTGAAATTCACACCAGTAATGAGTAGTTTTTTCCTCGAAAATAAACCCTTCGCTGTAGTAATAAATCTAAGCTGATAGTACTGTTCATTTGCAGGGAACATATTCAATGTGCTACTATACATGCTATTGACTGATTTATTGATTGATGTGAGTGATCGGAAGTCAAGTACATTAAACTAGTAGTGTTTTCCAGCCTCATAGGGGTGACAGAAACACTGAAATACCTTTTCTCTCCCTCTGTTGAGTACAGCTAATCGGAGGTGTACGCGACTCTACTCAGTTCAAGATACCTAGTCAGTCAAAACACCCGAATCCTAGATACCTAGACACTTGGGTGAATTTACCCATCTTTAAGGGTCTGAATTTTGTAACACTCAATTTCAAAGTCTTAATTTGCTCGACCACTAAAACAGTCGTCCGGCCTTTAGATCACTTCAGTACGGCTGGTAGTTTTAAGGATTACAAGTTGAGGCGAGTGGTATTCATCTACTCATGTTAACTAATTAGTAGTATGTAACACTGAATCTCCTCTACACAAACTGCTATCAGTCCTCAGGAATACAAACTACACTGGATGTCACAAAATCATATTCAAACTACTGATGAACACTGATCCAATATTTGTGCATAGTGAATAAACTTTTACACGCGATTACCTCACCTCCGCATTATGATGATGATGTAACAGCTGTTTCATTAAGAGAAATTACTGTCCTGAAGACATCTCTGAATAAAGATTGTCACAATACAGGACATGCTGTATGGACACAGGAACCTAGTTTGGCATCACTGAAGCCCAACCTATCGGCATTGTGGCGCGATGCAGATCGATAGGAAGCGGCCAAAAACTGAAACCAACATTTTAAGTCGATGGCTGCAGCAGAGGTAGAGGTGTTTATCCCTGAAATCTGGAATTAAGTTACTCTGCGGACATGAAGCAACCACACTGGACAGCCTTGCATAACCTTAGGCCAAGTGCCAGCCAATCAGAACAATTTATTCTCCTTTGACCTAGCCCAGCCTCATTATGGCTAAGGATGCATAAATATGTTGTATCTTTACTCAATGAATGTCTGTTACTAAGTCGCTTATCTTCTGTCATTACATTAGTATTGGAAGATGGGAGAGTTCCCCTGAGAATTATAAGTGACCTTTACCTGATTCTGTGGATGTATACGAATGGGGCGGTCAGAAACAGCTGATCTCAGTAGAACTCCAGACAATTTCATTCTCAGAAGTTAGAATTCATGAGCTATTGAATTCCATCCTAGTAGCTGATTGGTCAACCGACTCGTTTCGTTAACTCACTACTCTGGATACGATCATCTAGGGTGAGTTATAGGTGAGTACTACTGAAGAGTCTTGGGCCAGGACGAAACACTTGTAAAATAAATTCTTTTTATCGATTTCAACTTTTCACTGTTTTTTTCCGAATGTCTGAAAAAACCGTAACACTTTCCTGATTAGGGTAATATGTTCACATGACTTCAAACAGTTATTGCATCTGAGGCGCCACTACAATCTCTAATGTGCTTCATTGCCTCTCTAGTAGGTTTATTTGTTTGTGTGTGTGTGTGTGTGTTGGTGGGTAGGTGAGTGGGGAGTGGTAGTGGTTGTATCGTTCTATTGGTTGGTTTGTAGAGATTTTGTTTGATTGGTTGGAAGATTTCATGATGAACTGACATCAGTTAGAGAACCATTGGAAAACTAGTAAGGGAGTACTGGACAGCCAGGTGTTTCGTGAGCCTAGTTTGGGAATCTTCATCAGTACGCACGCATCACCATGGTTCGAACCGATTACAAGGCTAGCTCGTAGACCATTAAGCCACTGGAACCTGATCCAATGGCCAGTCAGCCCATGAATTCTAACCTCTGCCAATTCATGACATAGCGCGACCACTTCCCAATGTCTTCTTCGATGAGTAACTGTCCCCAC